GCCCTCTTAAAATTTAAACATAACTCATCCTCGAAGGAGAGCTACTCATTCCCAATTCACCATTAAAGGAGGAAGGTCTACCTTTCAAAAACATTTGGGTTTATTATGTTATGATTCATCTGGTTTGTTTGTTTTAGTGCAAAGCGATACAATGGGTAATCTTCACTCTTTCCACTGTGAGGAATAAAATACTAGATTTTATTGTTGTGAGTCTATAAAGTTATAACTGACCCACGGGACTCATAGTAAATGATTTCTTAGTATAATGTATATGCTTATAAAATAATAAACTTGTAGCAGTAATAAAAGACCCCCCCCCCCCCCCGTGGCTCAGCGGTAAATTCGGGTTTCGATAGCCGAAGTAGGCAAAATAGACAGCTCATTGTGTAGCTTTGCGCATAAGAAGAAAGAAACAGTAATAATGACACCCCATAGATTAACAAGTTTGGGATGAAGGTGTTATTTATTAGTTCAAACATTTCTCATAACATGGTATGAAAATACTTCTGTCTAAATTCGATATTAGTTTAATAGGAAGAACTGGTTCTGCTCTTTTGTAAAAAGATACAATGAAATAATTAATATTAATTGATAAAAGTAACTCTACCTCAGGAAAGTTGTACAAAGGTTTAGAATTGATTTTTATGTTAAATCGAATGTAAAGACTTGCATTGAACTCTAGAAGAAACTTTATTTAGAAATAGTCTGCGGTGACATATAGTGTTCATTTAATTCGAAAGAGTTTGAAGAAGTCTTTTGTGGCACTTAATGAAAAGAGATGGCAAGTCTCTAGTGAAATCTTAGAAAAAGTTTTAGCTGATCTCAACTGATAAGTCTATTATAGAGAGTTTAAAGTGATCTTTATTGAAAACTATTAGGGATACTTTAAATTGATTTTTAGTAATAAGTATGTAACTTTTAAACATTTTTTTTTTACTAAACCTGTACGAGTTTCCAGTAAGGAAGTAATATAACCTTGACAACACACTTTGTGTGCTACACGCCAGTGATGATGAGGCGTTTGACTCATTACTAGATCTCAAGGGTACTGTTGAACAAGCAACATACAAAGCTCCGATCGAAACACTATATACATTCATTCATTTATAAGATATGAATTTTTATGGTGTATAACACCGTATGCCAGCGAAGCAGGATCTTTACATCGATAGTATGTGTGATATGACATTACAACAACACTGACTTTTAATAAGTCTCTTCTTATTAGAAACCCATATGGAGCCAACAAATAAATATTTTTTTTTTCGGTCTCACTGTGTTGTAATGTCACACAAAACACCGATCTACAGCAAAGAAAAGTTTGAAGTGTTCATGTGGTATGTCGAACTCGCAGAAGTTTGAGTAATAGCTGCAAGTGTTGTCTTCATCATAGAAAGAGTTCCATGTGATCTGAAAGAGTACCTCTAGTTGAAACGTTTCGAGTGAAATACTTTTTTATCTCTAAGAAGAAGAAAATCCTCCGGTAGGTCAGCGGTGAGTTTACAATGCTACAATCCGGAGTTCGATTCTCTGCGGTGGACGGAATGTAGATGGCCCATTATCTTGCTTTGCACTAACAAAACAACAACAACATTTTATAGCTTTGAATTATCTCAAATGCTATCTCTGATTAGAAAAGTTTGAAGTGATTTTAAGTTACAATCCTAATAGTAAGAGTTATATTAAATGATATTTATCATAAGAAAGGTTTCGATTG